CAAATCTAAGTTGGCAAAGTGGTCATTCTTCTGGTCTTCAGGCCTTGGTGCACAAGGGCGTGTTGTGGTTTAGGAATTGTTTCCATAAAGCTGTCCAAAGTTTAAGAACATATGTATACACTTACACGGATTGACTTCCACTGTACTCGCATTTAGTTTCTTTTCTCTTTGTGTAAGTAAATGGTCAACAAATGTGAAGATGTGAACAAATATGAAAAGTAAGTTTCACAGCTGCACATGTAAATGTTTGTGGAATAGCTGTTTTTATTTTATGTACTTCTACCAGAAATTTCTGTGCACTGAGAAGGATTGGGTTACTTAGTCCAAAAAAGTCAGTACAGTTAAAAGTAAATCTATAATGTGTAGGGAGGTGAATATGTTAGTTTCAGACTATGGATACATGAGGAATTCACCCAAACACCTCCTAAATATGCCTGTACAGTTAACAGAATTGATATCTAAAGTAGCTTGCTTATTGCTATTCTGCAATGTAGCCATGAATTTCTCACATAAAGCACTTACTTAATAATGTACCTGATTCTAAGTCCATAATGTTCAGAGTTCTTCTGTTATAGCCAAGGGATTTTCTAGGGGTGAAGGTACAGAACCTGGCTAAAATTATTGCTACCCTTTGATTGCGTGATCTCTGTGAGGGCAAACAGATGACTGCTATGTGACTTCAAACCTTTCGGAAACATCTGACAACTTTCCTTTCAATTAAGATGCAAAAGATGAGTAAGTCTAGATGTCTAGAGAAGCTCTTAATTTCTCATTGCTTACAAATTCTTTAATTAGTTTATAGGGTATGGATGTTACATGAAGAAACCTCTTAAAGAAGCTCCAGATGTATTCAGTGGGAGTTTGTTGTCCAGGAAAGTGGCATATCAGTGAGAACTGCTGTTCATGTTTAGCATATGCTTAGAGTCTTTTCTTACCAGATATAGTTAGCAGAATACACTCTCATTAGTTCTTGTTCTTGGATTCACTTTTTAAAAGCATTTATAGGCAGACTTGTTTATGCTTAGTTTTGAAGTGATGTTTCCTCTCTTTTGGGAGAGTTTGCTTCACAATTGTTTTATATGGATAGGTTCCTGCATCTTCCTTTGGAGCACATAGTGTTGATGGCTCCCTTTGATGTGATACTGAATTATGTGGACCCTTTAGTCAGTGGTGGTATTTCTGATGAAGGCTTGTACCCAAAACCACAAACCTATTGGCCTACAAAAGTAAGCTTTGCTGTACAGGGAGAGGGTTATTTTCAGGATACTCTTGGCTCACACACTCATAATTTTATGTTCGTAAATATGATAGATGTAGACTGCCATGACTGGAAGTTGTCTTTATTCCTTGTTCTTAGGTAGCATTTTGCAATTACTCACTTGTGAAATACTTATCAATTTTGTGAATTTCCTTTACTGAATCTGGCATGAAAATTTCCCTGTAAAAATGTGGTTTATTTCTCATGCAGAAAGAACAGACTACAGTCCTGAGAAAAAGGATTATCAGAGGAAAATAGCCATAGCTCATTACATTTGTTGACAATTTCACTGTTTTGTTTAAAAAATTGCCAGGACGTATTCATATACATCATGAATTTTTACAGGTGCAGTACCTTGTGAGAAGAATAGTGCTTTTGTTGCTCCTAAGTGGTATTTTTTCAACTGTCAGAGCAAATGAAAGCAAGATGGTGACAAGCTTTTCCCAGACACAAGAATGGAGAGAACAAATATCAAGTATGCCTGTATTCAGACAAAACATTTGAATAGGGTTGATTGATTGATACTGAGCAGATAAGTGAACTTTTTTTGCAGTGATGCACTTGTGTTTTTCAAAAAAAAAAAGTTCATAACGAATTATTTTAATATATGTTGAAAGAATAGAAGATCATTTGTATTTTGTGTGTTTAATTCCAAACCACTGAAGAGGGAATTAAAGTAATGTGTGTCTCCAAAGAAATGTGAATTTGATATTTCATTCCCAAGTGGATTGCTCTTATGGCTGACTATTACTAACAGAAGGGCACCAGTTGTTATCAGATTGTGGAGTGCTCACTTTGCAAAGTTTTCAGTGTACATATACTTTGCAACTGATTTTAACCATCTCTAATGAAGTATTGTAGAGGTCCCATTCCTTCCTGTTATAAGCAACTGTCCTGTTGACATCAGTAGGACCTTAGCCTGTATTAAGCCTGAACGACTGAAACCAGATTTAGTAAAGTGAAACACTCTAGAAAGCCTAGGTATAGAACCACTTCAACCCGAATTATTGCCCAACTCTTAAGGCTTCATAAGAAAAGCCAAACATGCTTGTCAAAGTCTGTCTGTCACTGCCTTGGCATGGAAATTGCAATTTGAAGGGATTTCTTCCAAGTCTGAGGTTTAGAGGTTTCTCCCTGCTTTCCCTCATGCTGGACCCGAAAGTTTTGTTCTAGATTCTTGGCAAGTGTTCCCGTCTCTCACTGAATGTCAGTGCTGAAAATCAGTGTATTTCTATTGAATTTAGCAGTGCCTTTCTTGAAGTATTAGATGAACTATCAAATCACGATACTTCCTCCCCTTCCTACAGTTTATTCTTGTGCAGGTAGAGATAGTAAGCTTTGGCAGCTGCTTTTAGGAAATAATCTACTGGTTTAGGAAATAATCTGCAGGTTTTAGGAAATAATCTGCAGGTTTTAGGAAATAATCTACTCTAAACTCATGGTCAGGTCAGCTTTGTGTGAAGGAGTCATGTCCCAGAGTGAAGTGTCTGTTTCCCTTAAGGGTAATGACATCAGCTTTCTGTTTGTGGCCCATTCTGGAAGTACCTCTTCTCAGTAATTCTCCAACTGCTAAATAGATGCTTAGTGTTTCTGGCCTTCCTGCTTCCAGTTCTGCCTGCCCACCAGAAGGCAAAAGTTTGCATATGTTCTTGATGTAAGTATACAACCTACAGAACCAAGGTCAAGGTGTACCACTTGCCATTTAGTCTTGCGGCTGAAGGCTCAAGCGCTGAGGTACATTTAACATCCTTAACAAGTCTTCCGTAAGCTGTAGTGCATCCCAGAAGCAAGTTCTTGTTCTCTAGTTACTGTGGTTGAAAAGATAGCCCCAAATACTCCAAATTGGATGATCTCCCATGTGGCTTGGTAGTACCAGAGAGAACAATGGAACTTATTTTCACCTCAACTGACAAAATCACTCCTTTCTATGATATTTTTACAGTGGGCACCAGTGCTGTTGCTGTTTTCAGTCCCTGTTTTAATGATGCTAATTATCATACCTTGTTCTTTTTTATCCAAAAATGGTGCATCATTTTGGAAAGGCACTATACTGGTGCAAATTTAATATTGCATCATTACTTCTGCTTCTCTGACCCTGTTGCACATAACGTGAAACTTGATAATCAGAAGATTCAGCTCTCCCTGTTGTAAAAAGAAGAAACACTGTTTTCTGAATTGGGCTGTCTTTATCTGGTTGGATCTGAATACACTAAAACTTCACAAATATTTCAGTGTACAGATAGAGTCACAAATTGAGCTGTTCACCAGAACAGTGGAACTAAGTCCAAACATTGTGAATAGATTCTACCACAGCCTCACCCACTACAAAGTCGTATCCCAGGCTTGGTGTGATACCTGAAAATGCATAGAACTACTTTGAGTCATAAAGGAGCAAACAAAGAATATAGGGATGGTGTTTTGCTTTACAAAGGCTTAAGTTCAAGAAAATTATAAAGAAAATATTTTAAAAAATGCTGTTCAAATCAAAGTTCTGTTATAATGCAGTTCTTTGTTTGAAGATGCTGAATATATAGTTTCTTATAGTTCACTTCAAAGTCAGGTTTGTTAACTGATTACACGTCGTAGCCCTTTGCTATAAATGATCTAGCTTTACATTTGAGTTATGAACACATCCTATATTGTCTTTGTAAGGGCAGTACATTTCCTGGCTGTCATTATTTGCCATTGTGGTGAGTTCCTTTGAACTCAACCCCCCTTATTGTTTTCAGAGCACTGAGTTTAGTTTACCCAAATCCCTGCCAACAGTTTGTGTATCACTCCTGGTCATTCACTGTGCTGGTCTCAGAGGACAAATAGCCACAAATGTTTCAGAGCTATAAACAGAGACCTCAAGACCCCTGCTGTAGTCAGGCATGGTGTAACACACACCACGTTATTCATTGTAACAGTGGTGTCCCTTTGTTTCTACATGGTTGGACTCACTTCTCAGTAGGTGTGTGCACTGCTATCCTTCTATTCCCAACACAGAAATATCAACTGATTATTCAGATTAATTCAACAGCTGATTCAATCCTGATCTATTTTCTCCTTTCTTTATCCTAATCAAATCCCATTTTCCCCAAGAGGTCCATAATACAATTATTTACTCACAGATCGAAGTTTTTGTTTTATAGTTTAGTTGTTAATTTATATACCTTTCTGGTTTTGGTTCCATGTGTTTGATTTCAGTGTCTTTGCCTGTCTTGGTCCACACTGCAGAATGCCCTTTTGCTTAGGAATTGGAAAAAGCCCATCCTTTACAACTGGGGCACTTTCCTTCTGCTCAGTGCTTCATCCTGCTTCATTGAACTATTGAAGCAGCTGAGCAGAGAACTACTTTAAGATTTTTTGCAAGTAGAGAAGCAGGCCAAGCCTGTGAACAAATTATTACTTTAAAGCTCTAAAGTCAGCTCAGTTTGGTATGTGGTCATCTTTGCCAAAAATTATTGTGTTCCCTGTCAAAGTTGGTGCAAGCAATAGTGGTATGTTGGGGAAGATTTGTGCCTTTTGTCCAATTCCATTTTGCTCAGTGGCAAGTATTGCATTTGTAAAGGAGAAACCAAAGCTCACAGAGGCAAAAGTCTCAATCACACAAGAATACAGATCAACATTACAATTGCATTTTAACCTTAGTCTTCTGATGCTTATTCTAGAGGCTGGATGCTAAGTTTTCACCTTCCAGAATAAACACTTATAGACACAGAATTCTGATTAAATAAAACAAAGTTAAGTCAACACTTACTCATAAAATTCAGCTGCAGGAGTGAGCTTGTACTTCGAATATTTGGTACCATTGCCAAGCACTGATGCATTGAAGAGTTTGGGATCTGTACAGTTTGGACTGTTCCAACTGTTGTCACAGTGTGTCCAGGGGAGCTCAAATGTGAATGATGAAAATAGGTAATACAGAGACCAAGCTATAATAACGTTGTAGTAGAATCCCACATAAAGAGCTATGAGTATCACTGCATAGCCTACACCTAAAGACAAAGAAAAACTAGATTATACATGGTGTTTCACATAAAACAGTATATGCAAACACTGTAGTTACTCAGCCATACATAGTTGCAAATTCACTTCAGGTCTTCTAACCAATAAAAAGAATTTTTGACACTTATGTCCACACATGCGGAAACAGTGTCACTGACCTTAATCCAAAAATTATATTAATGGTTTTGGAAAATGACTATCTGTTAGCAAATCCAGTTGTTTGCCAGAAAAAGAAATTAAGCAGTGCTATGTCAAAATGTGCTCTTGTACAACTCTGTTGCTGATTTGCTTCCAATGCACCAGATTGCAAGCCCATGTTAGGAGTGAAACTCACTTCATCTTCCTAATGTCAGAGACCTTGGCAACTTTTCTTGGAAAAGTAAAGCTCCAGACTTACGTGAAGTTTCCCTATGCCTCACATTCCCACCCTGAGCTAGTTTGGAACAGACACTGATCCCTCTCCTGTTTCTTTCCCATTGTTACTCTCCAGATTGGCTTCCGTCAGCATGTGACTAGGTCCAAACTATGCATGAAGCAAGTCTGTACTGTTCCACTGAGGGACTCCAAGGGATTCTTGGCCATGCCAGTAAATCTTGGTGAATATCAAGCTTAGGCCTAAACTGTGTGTGGACCTTCAAACTGTATAATTATGTCCCCAGGATTACAGAATCCCCCCACGAGCATTCTCTTTTGAATTTGAACATTTGTTTTGTGGTTTTGTGTACTGAGAAGTGTGCTTGGAGGGTCCCTAAAGTGAAAAAGCCCCAGAGATTGCATGTTCTCCTCATGAAAATGCACAATTTTAAGTGGTTTGGGAGGAAGCTTTGGTACTAATGTGAGAGCAGAGCTACAGTTTGTTGCGAGACTTTTCAGGAAGCTTGCTTAGGTTGGGTTATATTATTCTTCTTCCTTTACTGCGTGTGCATCACTGTTCTCTGAATCCTACCCAGTGTTGTATGTGGAGATTACTGCTGGTTTATGACTATCAGCATTGTACTGTCACAACACCTAAGTGTGAACCTTTCATATTTCTTGATAAGACAAGGAAGCAGCACACACTTTCAGTACTAATCCTTGGTTTAAAAATTGCCTAAGGAACAGATGCTGACCCTGAAGAAGCTGACAGTTCAGAGACTGCTGCATACACCAAAGTTACTCCTTGCTCTTCAGGAGGTTTTTAATATATATACCAGTCTGCTCATCCCTAACACTGGAGAAAAGATTGTGAAAGTAAAAATGAAACTGTATCTTCAAATCCTTGGTGCTTAAATTAATCCAGTACATTAACACTCAAACTCTAGTGACATGTTACGGTCAATAAAATGGAGTGGAGTTGGGGAATCACCCAAGTGGATCATTCTTAAATATTAATTTGAAACTTAAAATACTAAAACCGAGTAATATACGCTACACTGAAATTGCATGATTTTTGTTTAAAAGAAGTCTTTCTGAAATTCCTCTGATTCAGGAGGACAATGATAGATATTTAATATCAAGATTAAAAAATATTTCTTAAATGTCACTCCACTGAAATAATGAGAATATTCAGGAATGAATTTGCTCTTGTGTTTCTAGATCTAGCTTTCTTAAAAGTAATGCTGGACCACCCACACTCTAAAACAGACCCTGGAAAATGCAGAGATGAAAACAGACTGTTGCAAAGGATACAGGGTATGTTTTTAATTGCACACATTGTGAGAGCATCTCATTAGAAGTAGAGTCCTTAGAGTTCATAGCAATAATACTCATAGCTAAAATGAGTACTATAGTACTGTTCCTTTAGAGAAACTGTTACAAATTTGTGTAGACTGTACTTTTCATTTGAGTGAGAGTTTTGAGTTATCCCAGAAACAACACTAAAGCATTAGCAGTAAAATGTGTTTGTATGTTATCAGAAGATTTGGCAAAACTTTAAAAGTACAGAGTTTATACTAGCGCTGAGGTGCAAATACAACTCAATGCTTATTACCTTTTGAAAATCAAATAACTTATGCTATTCTATATCCTAGTAATGAAAACACTTAAAAGTTAACAGTAAGGTATGTTTGGTCCACCTTGAAAATGTCAGCTTAAAAACACAGCCTTAATGTCAACAAGACTATACATGAAATCAGTTCTATTTTCCTTTCTCATCTTTTCAATCCTGAAGTCAACAGAGTACCTCTGAGCACAGTTGTATTTGGTTCGAGCATTTTGAGATCCTTTAGGTCTAATTTTTGCAGGGAGGTTTTCAAAATCCTCGTTGCTATCCAAAGGCATTAACTGATACTGGCAGGAATTTTTACTGAGCAAGGGTCTTCAGGTTCCCCGGTGCTGGGTTGAGGTTTCCCTCCAATGAAGGGATTATAGAAGAATTAGGTCTGTATGAATTAATTTTAAAATGGGGGGGCATATATTTTATTAACTCGCTTATTTATTTTTATTATATCTCTAACTTTGTTGTGAGTTTTGGGTATGAATGATAAGAAAAACCCCTGCAGTCTTCCTATTCTGCACTAGACTCCTTGAAGAGGAAAGCTGTATTTTGGGAAAGAAGACTAACATTTACTCAGTGTAATCTATATCCAAGCACTGGATCCACCAAGTTTAGTTTGCTATTGTTAAGCTCCTCAGCTTTTGTCAGTCACAGGATGAACATGGTCTGAATTTTAAGGTTGTAAGGTCAGCTGAGCTTGACTGGCTTCATTTCAGATAGCTCTGTGTTGAAAAGATTTTTACGTAAGATTTTAGATACAACCTGGTATAGATATAAGGGAATTTACAATTTTTACTGGTAAGCAATGCTTAAGATTCTTGAAGCTCCTCAGCAGGTTATGTTTCATGTATAGAAAGCATATGGCTTCTTTCACCCACAGGGATCCCTTTATTCCTCATTACTGCCAGACACCTTGATCAATATCCAAATACCTACCCTGGGCTGTTTTTTCCTTGCAGAATGATTGCAAGTTAGTGTACCAGACAACACTCTACAGCCTTTTATTCAGTGATACTGGAGAGTTATCCCTAGTGAAAAACACTCAATAGTAAAATTCATGTTTTATTAAGTGCTTTTCATTGTTAGATTTGAAAACCACTTTACAAAGTCCATTGGAATCATTGTTTCCATTTCATAGATAAGAAAACTGAAGTACAGAGCCACCAGTAACTGGTGCAATGTTACAGGTCTACTGGCTGAATGACAGCCTTCACAACTCCATTTCAGTGTTCTAGCCATTGTGGCACACTGACTTTTACAGAGCTCCACACAGTGGACTGGATGGAGTCAGTGATTATATTAGCCACTGGGGAAGACAGCGTTGAACTGACCTGCATGAGACTTTGAATTTCCATCTGTGTGCATTGCCAAGCACTCCCTCTACCTCAAGATACCCAGTTCATCCCACACCACAGTATGCAAGGAAAGGAAAAAAGGGCTGATCTACTCCTGCTCACTGCTCTCTATTGCTCTCCTCAGCAATCACCCTGATTTCTGTGGCTTTTCCCATTTTATGCTCCACCTGTGCTAATAAAAAGACTTCTGACTTCAAGGGTTGAGGAAAGGTCAGCAAATATCATGCTGTCTGTGGGAAGGTGAGAGACCTTTACTTTGTGATAACAAATATGTGGCACCCTCATGGTGCTATTCATGTGAACAGAGGGGCACTTACCTTTGAAAACTGGACAGATTTTCCACACAGTGGCAGCCCCTTCTCGGTTATACTGTCCCAGTGCTAATTCCATATAGAACAGGGGCATTCCAGCAATGATTAAGAAGAGGATATAGGGAATAAGAAAAGCACCTGGAAAGAGAATAATTAGACATTGTAGTCTCAGTTTTGGCTACATCTTGCTTTCTTTATTGCTTACTTTTACTAGCTAAAGACAAAGCCAGTCTTTGGGAAGTTGAAAGGAAATAAAAGGAAGGAAGAACCTGTGTACTCTGGTCCCTTTCTTGTATTTTTCCTTTTTTTCTTTTTTTTGACGATCTCAGAGAAAGAAGCCCTGAAAAAAGCTGTAGACTGTGGCTTCTATTTCCCTCTAATGTTTCCTGTCTGCTTTTTGGCTTCAAAGGGAAAAAGATGTGTCCCTGAAAATTAATCCCTAACAGCAGAAGAAATAATGCACTTGCAGAACTAAAAGGGAAAGGGATTATGAAACATTTTGTTAAGTTTTCTTTAGCGTAATATGTTCAAAAGGGAGTATGGATGCCATCAACTGAGGGAAAAAAATGTCATGTGAGTTCCTGTAAGTGCAGTTTAACTCATACTGTGTAAGGTGTCTGCAGGAACCCCTGGCTTGAAAATGAATCACTGCTGGTTAGTCATATGGAATTTGGGCTCCCAAATTTTGCTATAATAAATTCCCTTATTCTTATGGTTTTGCTATAATAAATTCCCTTATTCTTATGAAATGTGATAGACAACACCCTCGTTTCTAACCTAGTGATACTGAATTAATGTGGAGTGTATATTAATGGAGTATGTACTAGGTTTCACTGCTAGGCTCACTGTTATATTGCAGCAGGACAGTGCCAGGGCTTACTTGGAATACATAACTTTCCTTGAGTGAGGATTCTCCTGTGAGTTCATGCCACAGAAACTGTCACCTCTGGAAAAATCCTGATACATCAGTGCTACTATCATAAAAAGTATTGTGAACTGAAATACAAAAGAATCATCTAATGTAGAAACTGTCTGAAGATTTCTTAGCTCTTTTATATGATCCAGGTCACAGAAAGAGGAGTCCCCCAGTGCATGCCTATATATGATACTGTAAAACAATTGTACTTGGTGTTATGTTTAATAACTGGATGGTCTGTCGATTCTCTGCTTTGTGGTACCAATAAGGTGTAGTTTTTATTTTAGTGCATAGCTTGCTTGGTCCAGAATAGTTCAATTCATGGAAAATTTGTCTGTTTTAAAGAATCATTAGATGTTTTGATAAATAAGGAGCTGCCAGAGTAACTATGTATCCTGAATAACTGACTGCTGTCCTTAAGAGTTACGGATGAAAATGAAAATAGACTGTGAAGATCATGGTTAAATTGTTTAGCAAAAACCAAAAAGAAAACAGCAGCAGCTGTCTATTTCTCCCAATAGCAAATAGTAGGACCTTTTGCAACCCTTTAAAATCTGCGTGTACTGGTTTAGCAATTGAAAAACTTCCCTTACAAAAGGAAGTAAGTTTGCATTGCTTCTAAATATATAAACTTAAAGAAGGTATGTGCAGTCTATAAAAGAATAAAAGCTAAAACCAAGACTGTAGCTATCTAAAACATGCCAGTAAGCACAATGAACTGCATATCTAAAAGGTACTTCTGAAACTACTGTTGTGCTTGTAAAAGTCTGAATACTCATTGTCCATTTACTTTCCATGTTTGCTTTTCACAGCTATTACCAATGCAAGCTGCCTAGTGTGTCTATTCAGAGGGGAAATTTAAAGTATATACTGGAGAATAAGAATGGAAAAACAAACTCTGTTCTCTTAGTCATACCACAAATCTAATTCTAAAAGTAACGTGCTGGAATGTAATGTAAGGACAATGTATTCAGCGTTCAGTTGTAAGTGTAGGCATTTGAAAGCTGAAATCTTGCGATGAAATGGAGACAAGGAATATTAACAGAAATAAAGAATAGCTTAAAGCTTTGACAATGTAACCTAAAAGCTGAAATCTATTGGTTGCATCACTGTGGGGCAGGAATCTTCACGGTGTTTATATGGAGTGTAGTGTAAATGCAACCTGCATTCACATAAGCTACTACAGTACCAGTGATACATGTTTTAGTTTTATTTCAGTGTTGTTCATAAACTGCTTTCTGCGATTGTCATGTCAAACCGTCATATTGTAGAGAAAAAAATCCTTGTATTTAACAAATACTTGATACCTTGAAGTTCTCGTCTCTGTTCTGTGTTGAATCATACTCTGCCAGATCAGTCTGGGATACTACATATTTCTTTCACTGTATCTAATATCTGTAAGAATTATTTCAGATGGTGTTACTATCAGATTTCTGATAAGCGACAGCCTTTGAAGTGCTGTACTTGGCTTGCTTTGATAGTATTACAGTGTGTGGAGATGACTCACCAGCCTAGCTTGTACTTGGAGTATGCACAGTGCTGTTTGATTCACTTTAACGTCAAGAGACTGTGGAAAATATAATGCCACAAAGTGAATAGGTAAATTTGTGTTTCAGAAAATAAATCCTGGTGATGTGTAGTAGACATACTATGCTAGTTTAAACTTTGTGTTTTTCAAGTATGACTAATAACATGATGAACTGCGAAGTGTACTGTACTTAGGCATACTTGCTTTAGCGTCATCCAGTTGGCTGCGAGTCATTCCAGGCTTTAGTTAAAGGAGGTTTCTTACTTTTTTTTCTTCCCCCGCCCTGCCCCCGCAGGGATTAATAAGGTGTGGTGTCATTTTCAGCAAAGAGCAGTTATGGCAGGGTTTCACAGATCTGTTACTCTTCGGGTAACTAAGTGACTGAAGTATTTTGAAATTGAGATAAAGATGAAAGTAATGGTGACTTTCATCTTTAGTTGACTTAATGTTTTGGAGGCTTCTGAAACTTCTTGTTTGGCAAGTTCTGATTAGGTAAAAAGTATCAAATATTCAGGTGTATTGTAAATATCTTGATACTTGCTCATCTCTTCCCAGCCAATATCCAGAATCAAACTTCATTGTGTTCACTAAACCCTTTTTGAGATTATGGGCACTTCAAAGGAAAATAAATGATGGTCAAAGTATCATTCGAATTACTGCAAACTAGAATGGCATGCAAATGCTTATAAACAGCACACTGGTGATCTATGATCAGCTTCAGTCAGTGATTGCACAGGGGCTCTGTCACAGCACTGTTTGTGTACAGTATCTTACAAACATGAGGTGTTGTTTTGAAAAAGACTTTGTTCCGTCCTGCATGTGTGAACATCCTCTGGGCTAGGGAGGAGGCAACCAGCACCCTGGCGAGCCTCGTACTTCAGGTTCACTGGTGGGAATTTGTGTTGAGCATCACACCAGACTTCTTTGAAGGAGCAGACTCACTGTTAATGCCTTCCTGGTCTATGAAGTCAAAATGCGTTAGGAAGAGTGACACAATGCCAGCTGTGTCACTCCTGCCTGTGCCACTGGCTCCAGAAACTGCTGCGCTTGAATTGCGTGAGTCCAGTCAGATTTGTATGGCCCAGACAGCTGAACTCGTAGGAGCACACAGTTTGGCCAGCACTTCAGACTAGCTTGCCAAGATCTACCTACCTCAGAGAGCTGAGGGAATGCAATCTGTGGGATTGCTGCATTGGCAGTAACATACTGATAGCACTCAAGGGGATTCCGCTCCCCCACTGTGTGATGGGATAGGCTGAGTGCACAGCTGTATCCCACAAGGCAATACTGGTTTCAGCAATCCCTAATTTCCCTTTACAGCTAAGAATCTGAAATAATTAACATCTGTAATACAGCTCTGGCATAAGAGCCATACTTGACTCGTTACTGAGTCACATGCAGCTCAAAAGCTACCTCAGACGGTTGTAAATTGCTACATCTCTTAGTTAACAGATTTCATGAGATCCATCTACATCCCTTAAGGCTCCAGTGTGTCCATGGTGTTAAAGCAGCCTTACTGTCATGCAAAACTAGATAAGGTCAAACCCTCAGCTTCTACAAGAACCATCTGTGTGAAACTTCAAGTGGAAACTTACACAGAAGGTTTTAAGAAACCTATTACAGTTAGTTAATGAAGGACAAAATACAAGACTGGCTTTGCATTTCTGTGTTCAGTGCCAAAACAACTTCTTAATTTTGGTGCAACAGAATCCATGCAAAGAGTGTGTCTTTCTTTTGTACTTCAGCATCCACAGCATCCTCAGGGCTGGGAAGGAAAGAGGAATACTCTCTAAATACTCTCAATCCTACAGGGAGGTCGCATCTCACTTTTAAATACCACAAAAGAAGCATTTATTTACTAATGACTTTAAAAAGATCATTTCAACAGCTACTGTTATCCGGGAAGGACTTGCTGATGCACACGTAAGAAGCAGGCCAGGCCAGGGGTAGTAGAAACACCTTTGAACTCTGTGCTTTTTAGCCTTCTGCATTTGTTACCATGGATATTCCAGTCAAAATGGTAACAGGCAGAATGTCAGCTAAAACAACAAACCAAGAGCAAATATTGCAGTGTATTTTCAGATAGGAACGTTTCCAGAATTTGTACAGAAAAGAATCTAAAAACAAAGGTCTCCCAGTTGGTGAATTAAAATACAAGCTAATCTCTGTGTCTGATCAACACTGCTTGTTTCTTTCATGCAGAGTAAGTAGTGCTTCAAACAATATCAACAAACAGTTGATAGAATGCAGTACATTTGCTCCGACAGTGAGGAAAGTAAGTGGAAACTTTAATTTGTCCAGACTCTTGTGAGTGAAAAAAGAATTCCCTGATGTGGAGATCTACAAGATCAGCATAAGAAGAAATAAAAAGGTAATGGGAAAGGTGGGCATTTCTTAGTACGTGAACGTTAGTCCTGGCTCTCTAGCAGACTGGTTTGCACAGCCACTGCGGCTCCTCTGACCGAGGGGAGCCCGAGTCTGTGTTGACCCTGGGGAGAGAAGGAATGGAAGGGTAGATCTTCACTGCCCTGAGACTGAAAGCAGTAAGGGTTTGCATGGTACAGCAAAGCGAAGTCAGAGATAGAAAGGAGTGTGATGTAAACTCAGTGTCAAAGCCAAGCTGATGATTTTAGCAGCAGCTGTATGATGATGGTGAACCCAGCCAGCAATAGATTATAGGAGTCAAAAA